TGTCAGGCATCCACTGTTACGGTATCACACATAGCTGTTTCACCATCCTAAATCTGCTGTGTGCACTACCTACCGTTCTGTTTCCCCTACTCTCATTCATCCCCTGAACTCCTGGAAACCACTGGTCTTTTTACTGTCTCCATAGATCTGCCTGTCTAGAATATCATACGGTTTGAATTATACATTATGTAGCCTTGCCAGGTTTTCTCGTTTCACTTAACAACACACTTTCGACGTTCCTGCACGTCTATCCCACCAGCGATGATTGAGAGCTTCTGCTGCTTCACATCCTTGTCACCATGTGGGGTTTTTAGGGTTTTGAATTTCAGCCATTCTAAGAGGCATATAACCTATCTCCAAGTTGTTTAAACTTGTTATTCCCTAATGGCATATGACTTTGAACACCTTTTCATATTCTTATTTGCCATTCATCTATATTCCTTGGCAGAGTGCCTGTTCTATCTCTTGCCTGTTCTTAATTGAATTTTCTGTTTTCTTCTGGTTAAGTTCTAAGAGCTCTGTGTATATTCAGATACACATCCTTTATCTGGTATGTGTTTCACAAAGCTTTTAGCCCAGTCTCTTGCATGTCTTTCCTCCTCTTAACAGTGTCTTCTACAGAGGAGAAGTTTTTAATTTTACTGAAATCCAACCTATCACTTTTTCCTTAGGTTGTTTGGTACTTTTGGTGTTGCATCTAAAAAAGTCATCAGTCAACCTAACATTGCCTTGGTTTTGCACTCATAAGTGTCACCAAAATTTAAAATTTTGATATAAATATGTTTTTAAGAATATAAGGTATTCACATACAGTAGTTTGTAAGGAAATATATAGGTGCAACATTTTCGGGAAAAAAAATTAGCAACACATTAAAAAATACAAAATATTCACACCCTGTTCTCTTTGACTCAATTTCCACATTAATATGTCTTTCTTATAAGAAATCTTGTGCATTTGCCCAAATATTTATGTTCAGTGACGTTGATTATGATTCTTTTAACCATAGCAACAAATGAGAAATGACTTATGCATCCATCAGGAGGATATTTGCTCAATTTGTTCTTGCACATAAAGCCTAGAATTTTGGGGAGTAATTACAATGTGAGACAGATGTATCTGTGTTGTCATGGAAAGATCCTACATCCGTTTAAATAAGTGAGTCTATTCCTTTGCAAAGGCTGCCATAACAAAGTACCACAACCTGGGAGACATAAACAACAGATGTCTCACAGTCCTGCAGTCTGCTAGTCCAAAATCAAGGTGTTAACAGGATTGGTTCCTTCTGAGGGCTGTGAGGGAAGGTTTTGTCCCAGGCCTCTGTCCTTGGCTTGTAGATGACTGACTTTGCCTCACATCTCTTCACATTACTTCCCCATATGCATATCTCTGTGCTCAAATTCCCTCATTTCATACAGACAACAGTCTTTCTAAAAGCCTGAAAAAAACCATTAAGTTATACACACCACATTGTTCATTGTGGTTACTTCTGAGTAGGGGACTGAATTTTGGAGGAACTTTGTAAAGGGGAGAATAGTAATTCATATAAATTAATTTTTTATCTTTTTGCAACACAAATATATGCACTATTTCTTTGTAAGTAAAAATATGGAAAAATCTGTGAGAACAGGTAGAGTAGCTGTGTATCAGTTAGATTAAGAAAAGGTAAGCTGATAGAACAGAAATATAACCTTAAAATTAAATGCCTTAGCACAACAGGTTCATTTCTCATCCACATAAATTCTGATTTGAGTTAGTATGGTTTCATGGGCTGAATTGTGTCCCCACGCAAAATCTGTATGTCGAAGCCCTAACCCACAGTACCTGAGAATGTAACTAACTGCATTTGGAAATAGGGCCTTTAAATAGCTAATTAAGGTAAAATGAGGTCATGCAGGTGGGACTTTATTCAACATTACTGGTGTTCTCATGAAAAGAGGAGAATAGGACACAGACACACATGCCCAAGGGACAACCGTGTGAGAACACGGTGAGATGGTGGCCATCTGCAAGCCATAGAGAGAGGCCACAAAAGAAACCAAACCTGCCAACATCTAGATCTTGGACTTCCAGCCTCCAGAACTGTGAGAAACTATTTTTTGTTGTTGTTTAAGCCACCCAGTCTCTGGCATTTTGTTATGGTACAGAAAATTAACACTCAGTGGGTCTCAACTCTCAAGTGATCCAAGGATCCAGGCTGCTTCCATCATGTAGCTCCACCATGTCAACACGGGGCAACCTTGTGTACTGCTGAACAGAAGAGAAAGCCTGGGAAGGGGACACCAGCTCCTACCTAACTACAAATGGGCCACCCAGGAAGGACAGGTAGACAAGATGGGGATGGGGACGTGTGATTTCTCCCTTAACCTATTACATTGTAGGTGCTCAATAAAAAATAAACTGTTACACTTTGTTATAACAATAACTGTCTTTGATTTCTTGGAGGAGTTCCTAAGAAGCCCCAACATTGCCTGGAAATCTTCCAACATTTTCTACGCCTACTATGTGACTGGCAGTTTCGGATACAGAATCCCATCTAGTTTTAGAAGAATTGTAAATCTTAGCAACATTTTTCACTCAATATTACTTTTCTGCATTGTCCTTTCAATAACCTACAAAATGTCTTTAGGCTGAGAATTTTCCCCTTTCTTTTATTGTATGGTAAATATCCCACCCTGTGAGCCTCTGCTACCCTGCTACCTTTCACATGGCTGAATATTCTTGAACACTCCCAAAAATGACATTGGCACACTGCAAACCAAAATTTTCCTTTGGGAACAGGTATAGAACTAAGAGGGACTGGAAGTATTAATTAATTTTTCTGTTTGTTTTTCATTAGAGCTAGCATGTCCACTAAGGAACCATTGTTCACCACTTAGGAGAACGTCAGGAGAATTCAGTTTCTTGTAGATGTTTACTTACACAGTGATTTGTATGGCCTTTGGTCATCTACAAAGTTTATGAGGGAAACTTCGGTTTTTGACCACCTAGGTAAGCTCATTCATCTGTGCATGTGTTCAGTGGCCTGTTTCAAATAACATATCTTATTAAAATTCTACCGCAAATTTCAGGTTTTCAAAAACTCGGTCTCTGTCTTACATCCCCCAAACCAGTAGATTATGTGGCAAATCAGACTCTACTCACCAGCCTGTTTAGAAAACACTTTGAGAATGTGTTGATAATGCCTAGGTAATGTGATCAAAAGTGCTGAAGGTGCCCAGGAAAGGTGTCTGAAGGTCACTGTCCAAATTGAACATTTATGTCAAAGGGACTGTTGCTGTCACAGAAGACCCAGGCTTAGGAATGGGACTGTCAGGGGACTTCTACAGGGAGTAGAAATGCTCTCTGTTCAGGGACAGGGGGAGGCAGGTAATTCCGGGTTGTTCCACTGGGAGCAGGGCACGACCTTCAGAGGAGCAGGCTGCAGTGACAAGTTGGGCAGCAGGCCAGGTTCCAGAATTGGACAAGAAAGCACAAAGAGGCAGAGCAGGACGAGGGTGCTATAACGGGAAAGTGCTGGGGTGGGACAAAACTGCTGGCACCTGGACAGAGTCAGCACACCAGGAACCCTAGGGTTCAGGACAGGATGGCTTTAGGTAAAGAAAACCCACAGACAATCCATAAAATGTATGTTATCATTCTCACCTTCTTTAGGCCTAATTTAATAGCTTGGCTATAAGGTTCATCTTTATGTCACCCGAGGGACATGAAGAAGTGAGAAGAGAAATGAATTAACAGGGAGAAGAAGTCTTGCCTCAGGCTGGGAAGGGAGAGAGGACAGTGTGGGCGTAGATAAATTCAGACCAGGGGTCAGGTCCCAGCATTGTCACTTTCTAGCCTTTTGACCATGGGGGAATTGCCAAGTGCTATGAGTCTTAGGTTCTTTGTCTATAAAGCGGGTTTGAGAAGCCCCCTCCTGCAGGACGGCTGGAATCTATGGAAGTATGTAGAGCACCTGGCACAGGGCCCGGCGTATACCAGATCTTTAGGGAATGGCAGCCGTGTGCAACGCAATTTTAACCCCAGACCCTACCATGCTTTGCTCTGGACAATTAGCACTTGTTTTTGTTATCCAGAAGATATCAGAAAATATGTAGCACAATAGGTCCCAGAATATCAACTCAACCAAAAATTCTGCATAATAAATAAAACCCACTCAATTTTCTCTCAGAGGATGTATTATAGAATTGGGGTGTGGAGGAGTCTTCTTCAGCTGGATATAACTCAGAGATCTGAGAATTTGAGGCAAGGACCAACTCCTTTTCTCCTTCCCAGTTGCTCCTCCATCAAACAACTATGTTCAGTCATTTATCCTCCACTAGAAATCTAGCCCTTACTTAGAGTTGGCCAAGTCACCTAATTATAATGTCCTTTCAGTGGGGTAAGCTCTGGCTCTCCCAGGCCAGGGAAAACAGTGCCAGCCTAGTGGCTTCTGGGCACATCAAAGCAGTATCACCTACATCTCAGGATATCCTTGCAGATGATGTGTGGAGAACACTTAGTTCATGCACTGTGTCCAACTGCACTGGGACAAGAGTTCAGGACACGTTCCATACCTGCCCCAGGTGGTGATTTCTCTCTGCTTTATCCACAATCTTTTCTCTCACATCTAAGACATACCACCTGAGAGTCTGGCCCCTGTCACCACCCAGCTAAACTTAAAAGCAACTGCCACATGAAGAATGGAAGCTTCCCAAAGCCTTGTCTCAGGGCGTTTACACTCAACGGGCTCTCATCTGGAGTCCCACTTCCATGCTCCTCCTTTTACTTGATCTTTAGATCATGGAGGACATCTTACCATCTTTACCATCTTCCTGATATGACTGTGTTCTCAGACTTGACCAATTTAAGGGTAGGGTGTGTCTTGCTTATCCTAGTATCCCCACTACTAACATAGTGCCTTCCAAGGGCGAAGGCTCAAATAGTGTTTTGAAAATAAAAGGGACAGTGAGGTTTTTATTTATTAAGATTAATTTCTCCTACTTTCTGGAATAAGAAGCAAATATATGTATAAGTCTTTAATTTTAGAGGACCGACTAAAAGGGATAATGGAATACAAACATTCACCATCTTTTATGTTCCACTATTTTACATTTTCAATGTTATCCTGCCCTAGAGCTCAAAATAAGATGGAAGGTTTTCCCAATTTGTTTTTTTTTTCCTTACAAAATACCAAACTCATACTCTTAAACCAGATAAACAGCAGCAAATTTGTGACTCATATGTATAAACTAAGATTCTGAAACTAATTTTAGCTGCTATTAAAATGGAAAGCATTTGAAAAATACCCAGAAGAAAGAATGTTAATTTAATGTCTCCCATATAGAACAGAATCACAAAGAACAGTTTTCTCCAGCCCCACCCTGGCCCTCAGCTACTGTGAACCTTGACTCCCCTCTTCCCACACACAGTGAGGAATCTGCCTGAAACTTCACTCAGGGTGGGAGAAGCTGCTGGACGTGACAATGGAGCTTGCACTAGCCATGGCAGAGGCGGCATCTGCAGCATCAATGATGGCATGGGCTCTCTCTTCCATATCTGCCAAAGTATCCTTGTACCAGCTTGGAAAGGAACTAGGGACGACACTATTTAGCTTGGCCAAGAACTCCAGCACTTTCCTTTTGGTGATTTCAGTGTGGGCCCGTGGACCCCACAGGAATTCGTAGCGTGCAGGATCACTGTTGGGCACCTGCCGGTACTCCAGAAATTCTTCTCGAACAAAATCTGTGGTAATGAGCTTCCTGGGTTCCCCATAGATGAAGTGCTCCCTCCCAGCATACACCCCTAAACTACTCAGCACTTCCCAGATGTCCTCCTCACGGGTGCAGTTGCCCCTAACGAAGATCACGCTCAGGGTAAGTATCAGGAGGCTGGTCTTGGGCATGCCCTGGTCATTGCTCAGCACTCCCTCATACATGAGGTTTGGTGTGTTGGCAAAGACATAGGAGTGGTTGCTGGGGTCCACTTCTGTCATGGAAATGCCATAAATAAGCTCTATGAAATCACGGGCTTTCCTGAAGATCATAGGAAAGTGGTTCTCGTACTCGTTAATGACAGTATTCAGCATTTCTGCCTTTGTGATAGGCTCCTTTGTTTGATATTTGAGGAGCAGAAACTTTATCAACTCAGCCACTTTCTCATCTAACTCATATCTGAGCAAGAATTCAGTGTCTGCCGGGAGCTGCCAGGCACTTGTATCGCCCTCTCCTACACTGCTGGAATCTTCATCTGATGCACTCAGTGAAGTGGAGGAGGGGCAGGAGCTCTGAGGCCTTTGGGGTGGACTTTTGGGAATACTCAACATCTTAGCATCAGACACCTCCTCCTCCTCCAGTGTGCCCAGAAACAGAGGAGAGGAAGAGCCGGAGGAGGTGGAGGGGAAGGAAAACCTGAAAGGAGAGGAGGAGCCGGAGGAGGTGGAGGGGAAGGAAAACCTGAAAGAAGAGGACGAAACAGAGGAAGTCTCCTCCTCATCCTCCTCCTCTTCAGCTCTGGGAACCTGTGCACCCAGCAAGTCTTCAACCTCCGTCAGGGCCTGAAAGTCTTCCTCAAGTCTGAGGCATAGACGCTTTGGAGAATGAAACATGATGACTCTGGTTAGAGGCAGCAGGTACAAGTGTGATCAGGAGTGTAGGCGATGGAATCCCATGGGCCTGGGGGAGAGGGACAGTGTGAGTGGCCTCAGCAGGGAAAATCACCCATGAGGGCTCTGACAAATGCTGACTTAGAAGTCTCCTCCTCTGGCGATGTCCTAGGACCTCATGGGTCTTCTCCTGTCTTCTGGTAGGCCTCTCAGGAACCTGTAGGAAAGCATGAGAAAGCTCCTGAGGGTGCAGCCAGGTGCGGAAGCCCAGGCTCTAGGGCTAACTGTAGCGTGGGAGGGGTCGGGCACTGTGGGATGTGTACCAAGGGGTTAGAGAGCTCTGGGTACACATCAGAGTGTGCATGTCACCTTGAGCCCTGGCACTGCCTGTCCTCTGCTCTGCCGACCTTAGGACACTGCCTCACACCAGTCATCACCTCCCTGTTCCTGGACCCCTATACGGGGAACTGAAGAGACCCCTCAGATCACGGCCCTCCCCTCCCTGACACCCCCAAGACGGAAATGAGAGGGGGCGGCTCAGCCTGACAGGACGGGACGAGACATGCGAGGGCTCATGGGAGAAGCAGCGTGCGACTGCGGGAATCTCACCCTGCTGTGACCTGGGGGGACCCTCAGCCCTCCTCCAAGTCCTCCTATGTGTTCCTACCCTTCTCCCTTCCGCTCACGCGAGGCTGCGCCCCTCAGGCCGAGGTTCCCGGCCCCTGACACCCTGGACAAGGAAGCCGACGGCCCTGCCTGGGCCCTGCGGGACCTAAGCACGGACAGGCGGGGCAGGGGCTCCTCTCTGTGCCGTGGGAGGTTCCCCAGCCCTTCCACAGAAGCCTCACCTGACCACGGGCCTGGGACGCCTCCTCCTGCTGAGCTGCCGCGACTCCCGTCAGACGAAAGCTCGGCTGTGGGGGCCTTCCAAGATGGAGGTCGGCAAACGGCACATCCGGGGCCCTGCTCGGGGTCTCCCGGGGCTGAGCACAGGG